TAAGTGCACATATGCCTGTAAATGCGTATTTAGCAGCAATCAATTCCACAACAGCTGAATGTTTTCATATTTCCTTTTCATGCTGTGACATTGTGATATAGCCTTTGATAATGCAATTAACTAAATGAAGTCCAGCCACATATTAATATTTTGATTCACCAGTCCTTCCCTTCATTTTATTTATCAAAAAACATTCAGGAACAGGAAGCACAACCTTAGACATTAACATCTCTGTTAAAGATAAAACAAAATATTACTTGCAGGTTTTCTTTAGCTTTATAGGTTTATATATTTAATTAAATATGTATATTTAATTAAAAGATTGATTAACATGTTGAATTGTGCATGCTTGCATTCATGACACTTTGCAGTGCATATTCAGTGCATAAGGAAATACACTGCATTCACCTCTAAGACCCACTTGTGAAAAGGCTAAGTAATCTCGTGGACAAGGTAGGCCTAACATCTGGGTCAGAACTTCAGAGTTCTACAAGTTACTTTTCTCTTCTTTTGGTAGAGTCAACGTACCTGGGATGCAATTCTTTGGTGCGAAGAAAGTTGAGAATTGGAGCAAAAAGAGATGGGTCTCTGTCTATAAAGATCTACGGATAGGATTCATTTAGGAATAGAAAAAAGGAGAACGACACCAGTAAATAGACTTAAATTCTTTTTCTATGCAGCAGCTGAAGTAAGGGACAAATGAACAAAATGAGACTTTTTGCTTTTTTACTTTTTTGATTCCTATCACAGAACTTTGTGAGGACCTGAAAAATGGTCCCCACAATGTCAAAATAACAGGTTTTTATTACATTGAGGGGGTCATTTGGTCCCCAAAATGTAATATAAATATAATCCACTCACACACTTCATTTATTAGACAGACAATGCATTTAAGATAATGACAATTGAACTGAACACAATCTAACCAAACATATCTGGAAAACAACTGGTCATACTGTTGATTATTGAGAAGGTGTAAAATTTCATTGCCTTTCACTTTATTTTTCCAAGAGAATTTTCTAAATATTCTTATTTTGGCACAGGTTCTATGTAAACAGGTGGAAATAAAATTTATCAGAAAATGTTACGCAAAGATGTGTAATTTTTCTATATATACACAGCACACACAATGATTTCATGACTTTTAAAACTGCCTTTATCAAATTTTCCCACTTACTGCTCCAGTCTCATCCTTCAGCGTGGAAATCCGGCCACTGAGGAGGCTAAAAATGGCAAAAAAATATCAAATAAAAATATATAACTTTCAAATTCCGTTTTGATTAAAGCCGACAGGAAAAGGTACATTCAGCTAATAAAACATTTTAACATGTAATCTAGAAAGTATTACACTAGATGAACCGATACAACAGTATCAACAGTATATGGTATTGATAATTAAACTGAGAACGGTTGGGACAACTGTCATTCATGTAAACAACATGCAACTAGTTTACGAAAGACAATCAGCACAAAAAGAAAAAACATTTCTCTGTTAAAATAAACTTAACTACAACATCCTTTACTACGCAGCATATAGCCTGATAGAGAGCGTAAGTATAATCATTGATACATTTTTTAAGATTTCATATTCATCACTCCCCAATTGAAACCAGCATGATTTTTCATGTCATACATTCTGTCACAGAATTTCTGTGAAAATATGACCGGCCTGGCGGCTTGCATAGCTAAACAACATACTTGCATGTTGACCGCATGATGTTCACTCTCTAATTATGGAGAAATTATGTTTGATTTAAGTTATCCACCCAAACAGGCAAAAACTGTCCAACAAGGTTAAGAAACGTGAAAGAATGTAGGGATATTCTGTAACAACATTTTCTGGGGGATACCCAACTCCTCTTCAGGGAGTCCTGATAAACCCCAGTTTTTAGACAATAAAACATGCTTAAATTTCCCTCTATATCATAACTGAGTCTCACTTATTTTAAAATTAGATTAAAATTAGTTAAATTTCACCAACCTTGAGAAAAAAGAATCTGGGACCCATGTCAGTGTTTGCCTCGATGTGCTGAATCTGAAATATTAAAAGTTTTGGTCATTTAAATGCACATTCAACATTTTAAAACAGGGGTGTCAAATTGCAGTCCTGCGGGGCCGGAGTCCTGCACATTTTTGAGTTTCCCCTCATTTAACACACCTGATTCAGCTCCTTGTGCTGGCCCTGATGCACTACATTTATTAACAGGATTCAATATGGCCAAGGCCACACAGCTCTTGAGCTGAATCATTTGTGGGGTTCTTGAACAGGGGAAGAACTAAACTACACAGGGCTCCGCAACCCTCCCCCCCCCCCCCCCGATTCTGAGGCAGTACTCAGTGTGATCCAGCCAACTTCCGACAAAATTAGAGATAATGTGAAGTACCTGCATCAAAGTACTGTGACTGCAGAAACGAACATCAACTCACTATCAGTTGAGGATACCAGAGCTACGTTTAATGCAAGGTCCATCACAAGGAACAACTGTCTCACTCTCAACTTAGGTACAAGCGCTGTTAGCCTGAATTCCCAACCAGGAGCAAGTGCAAGTCTGCACAGGAACAAGAGCTACACAAAACTGTTAGAACTTAACATCAGAAAGGGACAAAGTCCTTAAATGCGGAAAAAGTGTATCCGGTGTAGCAATAATGAAGACAAAAGGCAGTTCAGCAGTATGATGAGATGAATCTTGAGACATTTCTTGGTAAATTAAAAAATGTCACAAAACAGAATTTAATTCCTTAACACCCAATTTCCAGTTATTATTAAAATAGAGACAAACACATCGCTACCGCGATAGGCGCAGCAACGCCCAGTTCATAATTAGCGATGCCGCAATATCGCATCTTTATAACTTCAGTCTGAATATACAAAATAGCAACTTAAAGGGCCCCGATTTTTTGGAGAAAAAAACCGTAAAACAATCTACCATTTCCAAATTCAGGAAATGTTACTTGGCCAGTGGGGTCGTCCCGTGATCCTGCCATTATGAGCTCACGCCCTTTAGTGTCAGTGGGCAGGAACCTGACGTGTGATCTGCGGCGGATTCCTTCACAACAAAAAGCTAAACACCAATTCGCCTCCCCAGTATAAAGCTGAGGTAGGACAAGAATGTATCACTACAATACCACATATATCCAAAAACAAATACACTTTAAACATATCTACGTCAAAGAAATTACTTTTTATAGCAGTATTATGCATGCTTTGATCCAAGGGCGACGCTAAGAGAAAAAAACCAGGGAGATGATGTACATTTTCACAGTTAAGATAAGCAAAGCATTAAACAGTTAAGGTAAGCAGACACTACAGATGTTATAAGATAAATGTTATATGTCTAAATTGTGTTTCATTTTTCTGGATACAGGACATCCAGACCTAATATCTCGCGTTTTACCTTTTCCCTCCAACGTTTAGATGTATGATTTCTCCACTCTTGGCCATTTTAGCCTTACCGACGTTCCTTTACGTGCATTAATACGGTAGAAGCAGACAACGAATGGTAACTTCAAATTATCCTTCTAGCTTGCTAGCCAACACTTACTACTTCCTAGAACGTCCTCCAGAATCCTTTAACCTTAAACAGACGATGATTGGCTAGGTTTGCCAATGTTTTCCAGTCATTGATTGGTTAAAATCACTGTAAAACCCGCCCTTTCCTTCCCGTCCCCCTCGAAGTTAACCCTATGTGGATAAATAGACGGTTTTAGTCCCGGTCCGAAATACTAGAGTATTTTATTACATATGACTTCTTTATTAATTAGGTTTGTTAAAGAAGCTGATGTGAATTATATCAATAAATGACTTTTGCTGTCATTGATGCTATAGTCATGTTAAATTAAATCTGATTAAATTTTGAGATATCCCTACAAAATTGAATCAGCACTGCAGTGCTAGCCAAAAAAGGGCAGTTTTCACACTTTCACCTAGTGGATTATTAAATTTTGAGACACACCGCCTCAGAATTGAAGCTACACCACAGTGGCAGCAAAGGGAAGGGTGAAAGCAGGAAAGCATGACCCTGTGAATGTGACAAGCCAAAAAGTAATTGTTGAATCCTTTACTGCTTCATAGAAATAGTATATGGATGAAGAGCTGCATCTGCTTTTATTTTCAGACAATTTGGCCCAAATATGTAGCAGCAGTGCTGTGTGGCAGCAAAGGAAGGAAATGACAGCTGTAGAACACATTTGGTATTGCGAACACTATAAAAGTATTGAATGGATCTTTTTCAAACTTTGACACATTTGAACTGATCAAATTTTGAGACAGATCACCCTAAAACTGAAGCAGCACCATATACTTATAGAAAAAAGATTTCAGACATTTGATACCGTTGGTGCAATAACTTAAAAGGTATTTGACAGATCTTTTTCAACCTTTCCAGACATGCTGTAAGGTTGAAGATCTGGACATGATCAAATTTTGAGACAAAATGCACCAAAACTGAAGCAGCGCCGCATAGTGATAGCAAACAGAAGGCCAGGCCAGGCAGCTTATTATGTCAGCATAACTCAAAAATTATTTGGCCAGTCTTTACAAACTTTGCAGGCACATTGTATGGGTGATGATCTGGACCTTTTCAAATTCTGAGACAGATTGCACCAAAATTACGCAATCGTGCTTAGTGACAGCAAAGAGAAGGATGAGATGATTAGAGGCTTAGCCTTGGGAACAGGATCAATTTCTCATTAGTTACTCTACTTACCCTATTTGAGCTTTTGATGGGTCTTATTACCACTTCACATTATATGGATGAAAATTTACACCTAAAAATGTTCACTTGATCAAATCCAAAATTGTAACGGCAAAGACAGAGGGCAGCAAAATTGGAACCGCCAGCAGTGGGCAGCTGAGAGTGAAAACGGAGCCTGGAGCCGCCATCTTGTAAATACATATCTTCTGTTGATCTTTGTACAGGTGATTTTAAAAAATTGTCATTTAAGTGAAATGTGCAATAAATGAATAAGTATATTTTCACACATACATATTACGACAGACATTCAGGTAAAAACACATTTATTAACATTTCCTGGTGATCTATCCAGTCGTTTTAGATGTTGTGAATATTAAAAGTGAATATTGGTACAATATATTATCCATTACTTACAACTTCGACCTTGATGAGGGGACCATAAACATTTTATGTGATAATCATTAGACTGCTATCATACTGTTTTTCTTTGTATTACTATTAGTTTTTACTGAGTACTGCATTAAGAAAAAGAATTCAAAAAGTATTTACTTTGCAACTGTCAAGGCATTTGATTATCAAAGCTAAGGAAAATTGTTTTACAATATCAATCATCAATGGAAGTTCAGCTGAGACTGACCAAATTATGCTCTGAAGGGCTTACCTAAAACAAATCATCTCCTGTCTTTTTGTCTGTCCTTATCCCAGTATCTACTCTCATTCCTTCTTGAAACTTTATCATTTCTGGTGCTCTCCTGATCAATGTTTGTTCTCTTTTTTTGACACCAACTACTTTCTCTTCCTCTGTCATTTTCTCTTCGGTCTCTTCCCCACTCATAGTCTACATCTTTGCTGGGGGATTGGTCTCTTTCTTTACATCTTTCTTCCCTCAGCCCAGGTCTCTCCCATCTGTAATTCCCTGGTCGCCTTTGAAGCAACCCTGGGTCATTTGTCACACTGGGAAGATTGATAGGCTTTCGGAAAGGTCTGTCTCTCCCACCAAATCGTAACTGACCGGACTCCTTCTTCCCCCCCTGTCCCCCACCCTTACGTCTCGGAATCCAGCCCTCTAGGGTCCGTTCTTGTTCAAAATCCACAAAGACCTCGTGTTGATCTACCACCAGCTTGTTGGCCTCCCGGCGTGCTCTTACAACAGAGCGCTCCTCTTTATACTCAAGAAAAGCATAACCCTTGGAGAAGCCAGTCACAATGTCTTTTACCAGTCGCAACCTTCGGATCTCCCCATACTTAGAAAAAACCTCCAGCAGTTTCTCTTCTGTTGTCTTTGGATTGAGGCGGGCGACAAACAATGTCAGATGGGGGTCTCCAATCACGCCTTTGTTGGGAATATACCGGGCAACCATTGCCCTCCAAATAGCGCGGTCATGAGGTTCAAAATCAGTGCCATCAATACTTCCTGCTTTTAGGGGGTCGTATATCTTCGCAACTGGATTCCAGTCACTCATGCTCTGTCACAAAAGAGACATTAAGCATAAATAAATGAATGTACATAACTCAAACAAAACAATCACAGCCAACATTTAATAAGCTGCCAGGCTGCTATCAGCAACCTATTAGCATTAACATAAAACGCATAAACATTAAACCGGAATGTTTGTTTTCAATCTGTTGAACACGTACTTCCTGGGAAATATCAGTTTGACAGAAAATACGATGCATTACTTTTTACAAATGACATTATTTGTTGCGACTGAATCGCTCGACACCATTTCAAAATACCCAAAAAAATGCTTTACATTTTCAGCCCGACGTAAAAAGCATTTCAGAGGTAATAACTAGAGTTTATATATAATAATATCTCAATGCGGGTAAATGCTTTTTTTTTTGTTATACTCATGCTTTGGCGTCATCAATGTATAACTTTCACCTTATAATAAACACGAGAAAACAGAATCTATTTCTTATATGCAATCGACATGCTTTATTAACTGCTTTTCTAATTCTACCGCAAATAATTCTCACAATTCTCCTACAAATACGTCTGAGTTACAGTGGATTGAGTTATAGTTAGCTAGATAAGTTATTATTGTTCTGAGTAGATATCAAAAGTTTTATTTGATTGAAATATCAGTATACGAGAATACTCACGGCGCGTGAGCGTGAACGGTGTTTCACTCCCAGTACCGACGTGCTCTCGCGAGTATGTGTCGGCTATCTAAAGCTTCCGGTGGGAAACCTCATCTGGCTTATAATACGTTCCCGCTGCACTTTTTTAAATGTCTGCTAGTTATGAGCGCGCGAACAAGTATTTTGACTCTTAAGGTAAACATAAGAATAGTCGATTAGTCAGTAAAAAACAGGAATTTATTTTTAAATATAAGGTGTCCCGAATGAAAGCGCGAAAATATCTATATTTGCATCCCGTCATGGGCTGATTTGGATTGGCTGCAGACCTTCCAACACCCTGACTAGATAAACCTATGGATGGATGAAAAAAGGCGATGTGACGCTGTTTCCCCCCCCCCCCCCCGACACGTTCAGATGAGCTACAGTATACCAATACCCCATGAGAAAACTGTCAGTACTCGGTTAACACGCACGAGCTCCGTTTCACGAATGCATATGCTACTTTGCACTTACGTCACTAACTAATCCGCACCGCGCTTGAGCAAACATTTGAAGTGTGTTTTTGTTTCTGGGTATATGTTGTCAAAATACCGCGATGTTCTCTACATTTTTAACGTTCTTATAACGTATATGATTCGCTTCGCCGTGTCATGAGAGAAATGGTTTTACAGAACTGTGTATAGGTTACCAGGTTAATAGATGTGCTGTTAGAAGTATTTTAATAAAAAAATAAAATTCTTGTACTTCATCTAAGATGATCGATTCCTGATAATTCTGTGGGCGTCCTGTTGTGGCTCCAAGTCCGCCTGGAATGTATTTCCGAGCGCATTTTCATTAAGCAATGATAATCAGTATGCTAATAATTTAATTCAAAAATGATCTTATCTTATAATGGTTGGATTGGCATAATTTGTGGAAAGAGTTGTCTTTGCTTGGGTCATATTTTTCAATAGGCATTTCATATACCTGTATAATTGTCAGTCGCATTTGTTAGTGTCTTATATGCAATGATCTAAATAAATAGCATTATGCACCTATATAATTCAGTCTCCACTGCAAATGTTTGTGCCTCTGGTTGCTGGGACATTTTAATACTTGGTGTCAGAGACCTGTCAGCATAGGTGACTTCAGATTACATTGGCTGTCATGCTTCAAGTAGAAGAAGCAGGCAGATGAAAGCAAGGGAGCAAGAATAGATGTTCTGAAGGAGTATCTACATTCAGAAAAAGGCTGAAGGCTTTATTTGGCTGCAGAGGAAATAGGGTTATCTGCAGGAGGGAAAAGCAGCAGGTCCAGAGTAATTACCTACCTACTCACCTGGCTGCAGCTAGACCCGGAACATGCCAGAATGGACCTACTTGGGTACTGTATGTACAGCTAAGGCAAGCAGAACTAGAGGATGCAGATGACATTTCCTATGTATTTTATAAAGTCTGGTGATAGCCAAAAGCTAACTGGGGTTCTGGCTGGTGCCCAGGGATGTTGGAAGGGCATGGATAACGTGATGAATTCAGGAGGCTCAGAACTTCGTATAGGCCCCAACCCCCCCAGGGGCCTGTGAAGTCTAGCCACTCCCCTGCTGGTGCCATTGCTAACATCTAAAGATTGGGGTGTTTTTTTTGTGGGCATGAACACAGCCTATACTAACCATGAGGACCCTACATAAATACGATTGGCCTCAGCAATGACCATTTCAGTAGCTCACCCACCTGCCAGCCACTGGCCCTGCAGGGTTGCCCAGGGTTACACCTAAATATGTTTTTTTTTAGCATTTAAACACAAAATGAGCCGGATAAAACAAGAAGAGCATATACTGCACTAAACACATCTAAGCACATTTATCAAAACAGTAATTTGTAAAGTAAGAAAATAAATGTATTCAAACAAAGTGTCCTGGCCAGATCGTCCGCATCTTCTGTGTGCCACGCCCCCTCGTTAACACCGTGTGGAATCCCCGTGTTCTGGTTGTTGTCATTAGTCCTCTGTATTTCGTCCGCGTTTCGGTTTGTTTCCCCAGTCCGGTCATTGTATTGTCCGTCTGCGTTTTTCCTGCCTTACCTGTAATTAAACCCCGTATTCCCCGATACCCTGATGTCTGCGCCTTTGTCTCCGTTCCGTCCCACTCGGCACAACGATATTACTATAATTAAATGTATTAATGGTTTATTATCAATATAAAAATAATGAATAAGAAATCTTTATTTTAAAATGTATTTTATTATATAATAATAATTACTGTTACTGTCTATCATTGTCTAAATGTATTTTTACTGTCTAAATATATGTATTCAGTTAGTGTAAATATGCACGGTGCTATCACAGCTAATGCGAGGCTGAGACTGAAGCTTTACCCTTTGTTTCCTCTGAGAGACGTGCCGCGTGACTCATTTCCCTGCGCGTACAAGTTATCTTAGGTCGGCGTTCACGGTTTGACTTCTGAGATTCACATCGAGTTCTAGCTAAAAATTTTTTCAAACTGGTTGGTTCAACTTTTAAGAAATTCCTTTGTCCGTAGCATGTTTCCTTTTTTTTGGCTGGGTGAGAGTGAAAGTAGTAGGGTTTAGCTTTGCTTTATTTTTGTTTTCATTGTATGTTTGTTTACTTGAATATTTTTCATTTCGTGTTATTCTTTATGTAGATTAACAGTTGATTGGAGGCAATGTGCACTATCCATTTGAAAGTGTTGTTCCGGAAATATGCTCCCATTTTCTCCTTTTCCCTTTATTTTACACCCTCTCCCTCACCCCTAGACAAGCGGTAACATCACAAAAAAATGGTAACATCACAAAAAAAAGTAGCAACAGTGATTTATGAATATTGCTGAGAACAAATAACAAGTTCAAAGATTATCCTCCCGAGGCATTTGTTTGTGGCTAAAGGATGTTTCATAAAAATGACTTTTATTTAGTGCAAATGGAAGGCAGACAACTAAGAAAACATGTAACTGGCATTTTTTCTGTGCACTTCTTGGTAGTGAATGAGTATGAATGACTGCTTGTCAGCTTGTTCAGTGTTCATTTCATCCTCACTACAGCCATCATTTTGCTCAGCCCTGAAAAGCCTTTTTGTTCCCATTGTACATTTTCCCCTTCATCCAGCTGGTCAATTCACAGTAGCAAGTTTCTTAATTCCAGCTGTCTGTCTGAGACTTGCTGCCGGAATGAGGGTTTGCTAAACATTTGTTTTTTGATGTTGATACTGAATTGCCAAAGAAATGAGAAATAATATTTAGTTGATATAAATCTCTAATAATAATGCAGTGCATATTAGAAAGCAGACACATTTGGAGAAAACAAAACTAGTAGCTAGTAGGTAATTATATTTGAGAAAGTTAATTTATTATTAAACGAAAGCCTTACTTATGTGTTGTTGTTTTGAGTTCTTCCTTAAGTGCCTAGGTGCTGTATGCACAGATTAGGAAACCTGTTCCTGTCAGCAGCCCTGTCCACACTAAGTATCCTGGTCCTCTGTCTGAGAAAGGTATCTGCAGTAGGCAGGAGACCCAGGTTTCTCAGCAGGTGCTGGTTACTTTCCCTGTTTTGTAGTTAAAAAGTACTATGAAGATATCTTGCCTCGTTTCACCTGTCGATTCCTTGTGTCTGACTTGGCTTAATACAGCATTATAATGAAGTATAAATATCTAAGATATGCAGCCAAATGTAAAACTTTGAAGCTTACTCCCTTCTTGTCCTGCATTGCTTTGTGACGGAAGGTTACAGGATGCCAGTCATTTCTGGGGCGCAGATTTGCAGGCAAAGGACAATTTAAAGACACCAGTTCAGCTAACAGTGTGATTTCTGAGGAAATCATTGGCAAGACTCACAAAGCCGGGAGAAACTGAGCAGAAAAGGAAGTCTTTGAGTCACTGTTGATAAACAAATTAATGTTCAACTAAGCTAGTTGGGCATGAATCTGGGTTTGTCTGGTGTAGCATTTTTTCGTGCCTGTTAATTTTAAGACTGGAAATCTAATTTTAACATTTTCAATTAAAATTTTTGAACACTTAGCAAAACTACCTTAAAATGATTTTTCAATATAAAAAGCACTTAATAACAAGGCTAACCTTCAATTTTTGCTGAAACTGGCTGGAGAGGAAAAAAATGGAATAAAACTCTACAAATATACTTGGCTAGTTATCAATCGTCCATCCGTCCATCCATCCATCAGTCCGTCCGTCCATCCATCCATCCACCTATTTTCTGTACTGCTTATCCAATATCCATGCTACATATTCAGCACAGGGTGATGCTGGGCCCAGCTCAGGATGCTCAGGGCACAAACCCGGACACTGCAAAAACACGGGAAAAACATACAAATAATCAGTAATATTTATTAAAACTGAAAATTAGTATAAAAATTTAGTTTTTGGTAATATTACCTATATATCTATGGCATTTCAAAAATCATAGAACTGATGTTTTGCTTACATTCTTTACTGCATTAGCTATATATTTGTGTATTTTACATATGCAGATATGTATATTTAACATTTACATATTACATACTGTTCAATGAGGAGGATAAAGTATTTGGTATAAAACAGAACGAATTTACAGTGTTAATCTGAAACCTGAAATACAGATAAACATATTAAATTTTATTCATTAGTGACCCTGATAATGAATATAATTTAACCTGCTATATTTCATTTACCTGTGATTATTTGCCTATCTTTATACAAAACCTACTGTATTCAAATTTCCTATAATAATCTGCTTAAACACTTAATGTAGTTAGCATGCACAAATTATAAAATAGAATCTTGTACAGCTTTCATAGCGACAGTTTATTGGTAAACAAAATGATTTTTCTTCTTGCTTTTTAAAATTAGTGTACAAGGCATTATCCAGTAAAGTAGGAAAGGAATGTGTATTGTTGGTGTATGTAAAAGAAAAAAAAAATCATTGGTAATGTGTTAATTGAACGGTTTGTCTCTTGAAGGCAGCTCACTTTGTGTGTGAACATGACACATTAATGACAGAAATAGGAACTAAATTATACATATTATAAAAGTGAAAGCTGATTTTGCCCAAATCGTCAAGAATGAAATTTCACATTTCTCAAAATTGTATTGGTATTATTTGATTTCAGGAAAATTGTATTTTATTACATAACCACTAACCTACACGCTGCATTGTAATATAAAACGTTCCTCCAATACCTTTATTCATCTATTCATTTTCCATAGTGGTGAATCTGGGAACTGCTTCCCAGAAGCACAGGGTTCAAGGCAGGGGACACCCTGAACATGACCCCAGTCCTTTCCAGGGCACACCGATTCACCTGACTGCAAGAGGAAGTCCCTGCAGAAATGGGGTGAATATGCAAATTCCACACACAGACACCTAGGGCTGAACCTACAGTATAAGCAGAGAGCTGCAAGGTACAGCAGTAATTCTTAGGCCATTATACTACCCTTAATACCATTAGAATCTCACACTTCTACTCGGATAAACATATAGATAATGAAATTGCAATAAAAATAGATTAGACAGCTGAAAAACGGACAAGTTTCTGGAGTTTTCAATATACCCATCATTGCCTCAGCAAACATAAAAAACTGAACTATTTTTAACGATTAAGTGGTCTGTTGGCAATTCCTTGGACTATGGCTAACAGAAAAAATAAAAATAAAAAAAGAATTGGACGTTTGGACACTCGGTTTTAACAGTATAGAAAATGTATCCTCTTTAAAGGATGGCTGCATTATAAATCAACCAGTTTTCCTTCACAATATAATTAAATATCAAGTATTTAAATGTCTAAGTCTGTACAGGTGTACAGGAGACCAAAGGAAACACATGATAACTGAATTAACTGCATTAACTGAAAAACAGTTATGAATATGAGGTGCTGCAATGCTCTTGTTGCCTAACCCCTTCATCTCTGCTTCATTCCCAGCAGAAATTCTGCTCTCGTCAACACTCTCTTACATCCCTCTGTGATACATGAAACCCTTTCTCACTACAGTAATGTCAGTCCTTTAGCCCTGACTCAGTCACCAGTGTCCCTCTGCTGTTACTCTGTCTCTTTATCTATCCTTAAAGTCCTGAGTCTCATAATCCTTCAGCTCTTGGCAGTAATCTGACAACAAGCTGAATGGAGCTTAATAAAAACAGTGCAGAATAGTGTAATCAATGAACTGAGGTGATTTTACCTCTCATGTCAGTCCAGAGAATGGACTGAGTTGTCTGTTTGTTCCTCACACCCTATCTACTTAAATTTTGCGGGGACCAGTGGAGACGCTTGTATATTTAATTCCTTTCTAGCCTGTCATTTTAATATTATGCTACCCACACTCAACACTTATAATGTAATATTAATTATAACACATTGTAACATAATTTTATTAGAGTAATATTTTAGCATATTATACTGGAAGCTATGCTAGGCAAGACCTGCAAATTATGCACATGTGCTCTTATGGTTTTAGCAAGTTGTATGTGCAGATATATTAGTTGATTTGAACAGAAAATTATGCCACCAAAATAAATGTAAATGCAAACGGTTACTGTGTTTGTTACTGTTACTGTTCTGCATAATATTATGCGTATCGTCATTATAAGATGAATGATTCTCCTGATAGGTGGCTTTCACCTAAGACATTGTGAATCTGGGTCAATCACACCATTCCAGTTTTATACGACCAGTGTGAAAACCCTTTCTGTAGTTAACTGCACACAAACAAAGGCTTTTCTTAAAATTGTTCCACTTCTGTTTAAAATAACAATAATGTAATGAAGAATAAAACAAATGCAATCATAATAATAATTGTTTTACTAGTACTAGTGTTAATATATCTATAAAATCAGCTGAGGCATTAGTTACACTATACTCGCCACCCTGCAAGATGTAATAATCTAGCTATAAACCCCCACAATTTGGGACTGAAGCATGGACAGAGAAAAAATAATATAGACAGATGAATAGAATAATGTGAAAAAACACTGGCTGTAGCCATTATCAACAGTTTCAACCATTGGCATGACTGAACAAGACTAAAATCATAATATAAGCAGTTTGCTATTTCCTCTGCATTTACCTTGATAAGAACAAATGTTATTTGTCCCCAAAAGAGAATATTAAACTGTACATGTTTATCCAAATAGCAACCTGCAGAGATGAATATTTATTAATTAAATTGTATTGTAAATTAAAAAAAGAGAATTATATGTGAACTCTATGATACAAATTAGACAACAAAACTGAAACAAACTAGAGAATAAAGCAAAATGGTAAACTGTCTCTAGAATTCAGACCCATCTGCACGGATTGTCTTTATTTGCCTAAAAGCTTTCCGTTAATGTGTATATAACACTACATGCAGTATTTTAAATTTCACTTTCCTAAAACAAGCCTTTGTTTTTGTTTTTCCTTGCAAGTTCAATTTATTTTTTGGTAAATATTTCTTTCAGGATGCTAAACTTAAGCCTACAGATCACAAATAATTTTCATTACTTAATCTTACGTTCATAAGCTGCACTCAAGTTGCCTGCATTTATTAGGAAATAGTTTTCAGCAAAATAACTCCCAGTTTTCACAATGTATGCAATTTTGTATTACAAAGGTTTCATATATAAATTATTTAATAAAATTACAATACTGACTGCTGGCTATTAATTTATTTTTTAAAAGATTAGTAAAAGGCAAGTATCTGTATGGGTATGGCAGTGCAACTGAATCTGAGAAACAGTATTACATGCATTGCAAGCTAAACATATTAATAAACATATTGCTGATATCGATGTAATGGTAAAAAATATATTCTTGTAAACTTGTTAATTAAATTACATAAAATTTTTGAGAAATATTCTGTTCTCCCACAATAATCTCATTATGTTTTATTCTTTCACTTAGGTTTTCTATAAATTATTAAACTTTCCCTCTTCCACAAAGTTGAAAACAAATGATTCAAACATGCAGCAAAACCTGGACAATTTAAATGAGAATTTATCTTACCTTAGTCTTTTAGCAGTGTACAAATATAATGTTGCTTGGTATTAGAACATCGAAATGCATCTTAAGACATTCCCTTCCAGCACTCTTAAAACGGCTGTCACGACCCAAGTGTTTTATCCTTAATACAATCTCAAGCAAGACATTGCAAAAAGGCTTTAATAACTCCTGATTTAAAAGAGTAAATATCAACCTTAATATGTGGATTTTTGGCATATCACAAGTTGTATTTATCTATTTACTGAGATAACTGCACAGAGGCAAATCTTTTAAGATCAATCTTTTTATACATTATAATTCATTGATAAAACCTTTTCATTTATGTACAGCTGTCACCCCAGTACTGTACAGTGATTGTATAACGAGGGAGTGAAACTGCTTTGAAACATGCATGGTGGTTTTATAATAGGGGCTGCAGTATTACATGCAACTTTTTTTTCCCTGATTTTTGTCTTTTTTTTTTTAACAAATAAACATTTGCCCCATTTTCCCCAAGGTTTAATTTAAAAATTAAATTTTGAAATCAAAAACTTTTTTCTTCGGTTTTACAGCAGTAGTTCTTTCTTTACAGAAAATATTATAAGCAATACTAATTTGATACATGTAAAAATATGAGTTCTTGAATACCAGTGGTGCTGTAAGGTCTGACTTAGCAGGAACAGAAAACAATACAAGGAAATGAGGAGTAGCTAAGAAGGCTGTTTAAAAACACAAAAAAGACTAAAATTCTGGGGCTTATTGTGAGTCAATTATGGTGAATTTCTTCATATTCATAGTACGCATTTGGTAGAGAACAGGGAGGAAAACATACATTAATCTTTGTAACAGGAGTCATATCTCACATTGCAGGTTAGCTCCGCGATGATCACCACAACTGCTGCGCGGCAAACACATCAGAATTCTATTAGCCTCATTATAGATTTCTGTGCCACCCTATACTAGTATGACAACAACAGTCTCTACACCATACATCCATCAGAATTACTTTTTCACCCAAAAATTTTATCTAAATGTCACAAAAGCACTGGAATCCTTATTCCTGGGAAAGATGAACTTTATGTTCGGAGTTAGAGCAAGTGTATGTGTCTGTATGTATGTGTATACACACATATGTGTGTGTGTGTGTGTGTGTATATATATATACACACATACACACATACACACTTTGAATTTGTTTATAGCAGATATGTTTACAAAAATTGTGCTCTTTATTGATTAACTGTGACGCCTAATTGGTCTGATTTTTAAAAAATCTGAAGCTTTTCTGTAAAAAAATAACAAGGATGAATAGATTAAAAAAATAATCAAGAGACAATTTTTGCAAGTGCACACTGTCAGCTTCTTGATTTCTGTACCTCCAATTGTAAGACTCTAGTTATGTTTTGAGTCGTGGACTTCATAAAATTACCAAATACTAAGAAGAAACAAATTTTCTTTCAAGACGAATGAAGTAAATAAACACAGGCAGAACTTGATGATATACACTTATTGTTCAGGGTACAAAAATTAGACATCCAGTAGGCAGTTGAATATTAGTTCACTTTATCCAAAATTAAATGCAGCATAATTCACTCCTGCAGACCCTACAGCACCCCTGTTTTACAGCCAACAGCACTGTGCAATGGGGGAGTGTTTTTAGTGCAGAGGAAAAGTTGCATAAATTCTCTTTTCAACTGTTACTTTTTCCATTGGTCTCTTCCTTGAATATGAATAATGCATTTAAACTGCATCACACTGACTGGTTTACATCGATGAACAAGTAGTGCATAAAAATAATTCTGTAAAGCTACCAAAATCATAAAAGAAATACAATGAAAATGAAATAGCTGTCTAAACAGAACTGCAAGTTTTAAATGCCATTTAATTGAAATTTCAACTCATTTTAAAAGGATTGAGAAAAATATGAGTAATGGGTTACTTAAAAAATCTTATTTACATACATCTGGAATTGTTCACATTTTTAGGAGATGGTAAGCATGGAGCAAAAAGTCTACTGTCACAATTCTGCTGCATAATTACAATCAGGAATTGTTATCTTCGAAGGACAGAACTTCTGTGTCTTTGCTGACATTTTAGTCCAATGTAATATTCATGTTATAGATGTTACAGACCTGAAGTATTTCTGAAGTATTTTCTTTTTAAAGAAAATACAAATGTACACATATTTCATAAACCATAAAAAAGTTTTCGGATTATTATTGGAAAATGCTAAATAATCAAATAACCTTGTAACCAAATTCCATTCATGAAACGGTGATGTTAAAATCTTCGTAGATAATGGAAAAAAAAGAAAAAAAAAAACAAAAGCTCAATACACTGAAGGCAAAAAGGTACTGTGCTAATCGCAATAAAATGCTTCAACAAATTTGTAGTTGTTGTATATTTGTGGTATACTCCGAACTTCCAAAAGTATGGTTCTCTTCCAAACACAATTAAATACTTGGTTCCATGTGTGCAGTTACTATGTACGTCCACAGTAACTACGATTCCGTTGCCACAATCAGTGGTTGCTTTTGGCTAATGTGCACCAACATTTACCATTGGTTGGTTTCCATGCAAACAGCAGTGCATACTGTATGTAATGAAAAAATTAAGTAGCGGGACTCATGATGCTTAAGAAATGTTTTAAATTTGCAACTGTATGATGATCTTATTACTGTGAGTTGTATACACCCCCAATGGTACCTGTGAAAATCAGATCTTTTGGCTTATACTTTGTATTATATTTGCACTGCTTTTTAGTTTACTATTTTTGGAGAAAAGTAAACATTACTCTCCTATGAATATTATAAAGACTTTGGACCAGCAGAACCTGCATGACTACATATCTATAAAGAGCAAAGCTGAAATTGTTTCTATTATTATTAATAGGAATCGAAACAGACAAATTGTCTACAGTTATCCTGCAAATTTCTGGTTAATACTGCCTTACCTGCTGTATACTTTGCAAATAATCTTGAGAATCAACCTATTTTTTTATTCTAAACTAATTGTCTCTGACAAATCTTGCACAGAAAGCACCATGGCTCACACCTTTAACCTCAGACCGCATGACAACACAGCAGCTGACCACTGGTCATGTGGTTTTGCATTCCTAAGGTATTTTGCTTACCTACTGTCTTGTCAGCACGGTAATGCAATTTGTATTACGAGTTCTAGGGGATTTTTTTTTTTTTTTTTACAACAGCTATAATAGCCCCATTTCAGTGTTATCTTGTCCTCAGGTTATCAAACTCTGTACAGTTGTGCAGGATGCCCCATACAGTGTATCTACCTATCGGGACAATCCCATCATGTGTGGAAGACTAAGGGATACTGAGAAGACAGAGAAACAAACAGAACCTGAGTCATGACAACTTGGCTGTGGTATGCAGGAAAAACATACTTTGTCCCTGGCAAACTTTGAAAACCGCCAAGACATAAACAAACAAACAAACGCATAAATAAATAAATAAATAAATAAATAAACAAAACAATGAGATGATGCATCCATTAAATGGACCCGTGTATTATGTCACTGAAAATATGACTCACGTACATTTTCCCTCTTTTGTGCATTTCATGTTTGTGAAGGGCGTGGATACGTCAGCACACTTATTCAGGATTATTCTGTCTTGCTAATATAGGCATTGATAAGTATATATGAAATCAGTTTCGAACCAATGTCATAGGACTGCAGCATGTGCAAACAATTACCCACAGCTATGCTAATTAGTAAGTAAGCCCTCTTGTGAAATTCCCAAGTATTAAGAAAGGTTGGCTTCAGATAAATAAAAAATGGAGACAGGGAAAAGAAAATAGAAAATCTGAAAGAAACCAGATTTTTGAAATATTTTGGCATATTTCATTCAACTTTTGCTTCTGATTATAAGACATATCTAGACAGATAAATATATGTAGACAGGTAAATAGATACAATTGAATAATTTAAAATAAATTTAAAATGAAACATTCTTAATGACATAGTTTAATATACCATCAGTGACAAGAACCTTCTTTTAAGGGTATCTTAGCAACAGCACCTAAACTGGTGCAGTGTCTTGACCAATAGGTACTGTAACTGCTTGGGGCAGAAGCAGAGACTGTAGGAGCAAAAAAGCTGGTGCTTGGTGTCTAGTCCTCAACACAAGAAAAAGACAGAGCGGGGGATGCGTACTCTCCCGTTCCAGCATTCATACTCGTCTTGGTCCCTTTCTTGTTATTCAGAACTGATCTGATTAAGAAGAAATGGTGAGAGGGAAACTCACACAGATGCTAAATCTCTCTTTTCAAAATCTCCGAAATATAGGTATATTCTCATTTCTTCTTTCCCGATGTGCTAGAGCGTCGATCTGCCTTCTCTGCTTTCTCCTTCTTCTCCGATTTCTCCCCCTTCTCGGACTTATCTGACCTCTCCCCCTTCTCTATTCTGTCCCCCAGGTCGGACCTCTCCCCCTTTTCTGATTTCTCGGCCTTGCTGCCATCTTGCCGCGTGCCTTCATCCGTGGAAGAGGTAGTGGGCTGGGGCTGTCCCCATTTGGCGATCTCCTCGTGTTCTGCAATGCTGGTGGTGATGCTTGTGATCCAGCCCTTCAGATCCTCCTATAATTTAGACGACGACAAAGCAGCAAATTATGACCATGAGCTAGAGCAGTAACACGCAGAAAACTGCTTGGACAATGAAAAACTACAATACGTTTACTGCCACTTACCTCATCCTTTGCATGAAACAGAAATTCGTTCCCATCTTTTGTTCTAAAATTAGAGGGAGAATATGGTACACTGATTAGTACACTGCATTAATAAAAGATTAGATTGCTTATTTGTGTGTATGTGTGCATAAATCACGCCAATGCATCAAACAAGCAAAGTAAAGACAATTCAGGTCAAAAGAACGGACCAACAATTCATGGGCATCCTGAGAAAACGCATGCATTGGATTTCTTGCTTTAAAGGAGCCTAAAAGATAAAGATTCAGAGTATTTCAGTTTTCAACAATATGACTAAACTGCACTGAGAAACGCACATTTTGAAGACAAGGAAGGCTAAAGAACACACAATTAATTCTTGTTTCACTGAAAAACAAAGAAAAGAGCAAATAAGAAAGGAAATTTCCATAAACTGTGCTACTTGGGTGCAGAGTATCATTATGCACCAGGAAATTAAGCAGTAAGTATCCTAAATATCACTAGAATAAAAATCGCAATTACAAAACAATTTGACACAAATGATTGAATGCGTGTAAACATGTTCCTCCTAAATACATGTTAGGCAGATGAGTTTCACCTATGTATCATGTTGGGGACAGTAGTGTGTAATATGTTGTTTTCTACAAATTACATCTTTCTGAAACTGTAATGTTTTTAGTATATTATAATGTTATTTTTAGTATATTCCTTAGCTGAATACATTGCATAGAGGAAATATCTCTGTAAATCAGCCTGTGTGTTTGTGTGTTGGTAACAGTATTTTGTCAATAATTCTTGAACATTATCAATAATGCTGCGATTTCCAAAATATTACCGCTGTATAATTTTCCAGACACGTACCCAGTAGTGCTATGGAATATAAATACAAAGAACAAAAGGATATCTCACTTTTACATACATGATTACATGCTTGTGCGCCACATTACAATTTGTGGGTGCACCATACAAAATTCAAGTTAAATGCATTAAAGACATAAAAAAAACACTTACTTAAGGGTGAAAACGTTTTTCTTTTTCTTGTAGCCATTGGTGACATCGCAGGTACAGTTGCTTAAATTAAGCAATGGCTCGCTGTTGTAAGGTGTGGTGGTATTCTTTGCATCCTTGTAGAAGCCAATTTCTCCCTTGGACAGCACGCAGTAAAGGTTCACCCAAGACCTGCTGTTAGACGGGAAGAAGGCTGCTTTAAGAATCACCATAATAAACACAGGCTACCTAGATTACTCACCTGTCCTGCTCATGAGGATGAGCCTTCATAGGTCGAATGAGAATGGACTGCCAAACAAACAATTAATTAACATACAAATTATCTCTCTAAGAATGTATATATGGCTTACCTTTGTGGAGAGGGAGAAGCCAGCCAGTACCAGGACCAGGAAAATTAAAAGAAAAAGAGAAGGTTTTGGTTAAATTCAAGAATGTCAGGGGATTCTTTATAATAGCTAAGTTGCTATTATATGGTCTTAACATGATCTATATATTCAATTTAAATATAACAAGGACTCATTGGTACAATTAGCTTTCAACTTTGCTTCCAGGAACCAGTTCAGTCTCATGTGCCAGAGACCAGAGTAACTGAATGCTTCACGAACACAACTGACATGTGGAAGCGATGATCACCTGCAATGACTGCATACCACGCACTTTCTTGCCACCCATGTCCAAGTCTTAAATGGAGAGACTGCTTGGGACATCCTTGGCACATCCACCCTTATTTCTTTCTAGAATCTTACAGTTGAGTTTTTAATTTTTATTGCAGAGAGCTTGCACAAAACATACAGCATTACATATCTTAACAGATCATGGAACAGTTTATTTTATATGTGAAATAGCCCTTAGTACCCTTTGATACTGTTAGAAAACGGAGACCAACCTGTTTGCGCTTTTCTTCTGGCTCTCAATATCAAGTTTACGGAAGAGGAAGCCTTCGTGCTGTGCGGTATGCATTGGTGGCTGGGGCACTGGTGGACTGCTCTGTGCCGGTGCTGAGCGAGACCGCCTTGACTCTCCTGGGTTAGGTTCCTTGGGCCGGGGTCTACGGCGGGGCTTAGGTCGATCCCTTGCTCGTGGGCGATCAGGTCGAATGGATTTCTCAGGTAGACCATTGAGAAGTCGTGGCATCTCACCACGAGCCTGTTTCCAAACAGGAAAAAAGCAGACGGTCAAATTTCAGATGCTTATTTAGAAAATATATTACTCGTCCAAAGCAAACAGATTGAAAGCACTACCTGCTTGGTAGGCTCACCTGTGCAGCTTCTCTCTCTTGCAGCTGTTCTACAATTTCTGCCAAAGTGGACCGTTTATCCCTGCAGTACCGGAACATCAAATTTGTAAGCAAATATTGCACACTTAATGTAGCACCATGCATGGCTTACACTATAATCATTTAGTGATGGTACTGACATACCCAGCAGAACGTTTTTCCGAGTGATCTCTTGTTGTCTCTTGCTCACTTGACTCTTGCCTCTCAAGCCGTGGCCGGTCTCTACGGCGAGAATCGTGACCATGACCCTCCTGCTCACTAGACGTCTGCCGCTCTAAACGGCGTTCGTGACGCTCTCGCCAAACTTCTTGGGGCAGCTCATCGCGTCGGGCTTGAATTTCCTGTTCGCTGGAAGCCTGTCTTTCCAAATGCCTTTCTCTCCGATAGTGATCCATCTGGGGGTCAGAACGGCTGCCACGGGGGTCCCTTGGTTGTTCAGTGGTTATTAGTTCTCGACCAGGTTCTCTCATTACCACATTAGCCAAGACCATCTCACCTTCCCTCTCCCGTCCCCTGTCTTGATCCTTATCCCTTTCTGTTTTATGCATTTCTAGCAAGGGCCTTACAGCTTCGTGGACATGATCAATCTTGGGCTGCAAACGTTCAGGCCTAAGGTCTTGTCGCACATAAGCCACCTTCGCTTCCCCACTGGTCGTTGCTCGCAAATCTATCCCTCGGTAACTAGAGCCATTCATGACCGGTGTGTAGTTAGCCACTGTTGAACCAAGTTTTCTGACCAGAGAGACTGGGGATTCCAGGGATTGTCTCTCAAACTTGGGCTCAGGCTTCTCATAGATTGTCTGCCGTATCAGGGAGGAGGTGGTGCTCCGATTGGGGGACGCTTCCTGGGGGTCCAAAAAAACCTTCCGGCCCAGTAGCGGCGTTGGAGGCAGTTTGCTCTGTTCTGCTTTCAACTTCTCAACCTGGGGTGAGGGAAAGATAATCATACCACTATGATAACTATGATAGGAATAACGCCTTTTGACATCACTTGTGATAGGATTTTATCCTATCCTCAAGGAATTCCACAAGCTAATGCAAAAAGACATTAATGGGTCTTTCTGGAGTCCCCAATGAAGTAGTGGCTAGAGTCTCCAGTATGGTAGGTGCTAGAGTCCCCGGTGTGGTAGGTGCTATAGTCCCCGGTGTGGTA